GAGGGTGGGGGAAACACAGCCGAGCTTTCAGGGCTGCATTCAGACAGCCCGAGCTCCTGCACGAGATCTTCGACCCCGCCAGAGCCCCGGGGCTGTGACTAGGTGCTGACGTCTCCAGCCCAGCAAACACTGGGCACGCAGCCCTCCGGAGGAGGTCCCAGGCCGGGCGCTAGAATTTTGGCAGAACCTTCCCTACTCATCACGCCTCTTCTCTGCCAAGAGAGCCTCCAGTCGTGCTCAGCAGAGCAGCCCCAGCAGCTCCTCGGGGGGAAGAGGCACTAAACAGCCACGCTAACGCCCACCTCGCCCACCGCCCTACAAGCAAGGGCTCACTGGTGCTTCCCAGTTAGGTGCCAGGGGGCTCCCAACGTCTCCATCCCTGACGGGGTGTCCTCTTCACGCATCCAACAGAGGTTTCTGTGGTACCTTCCACGAGCCAGTCTCTGTGCAAGGTGGGGAGCAGACGGTGGGAAGGCCGGGTGCTCCCCCGCAGGTTTCAGCTGGAGCCCGGGCTGCTCCTCTCATCTGCTCAGCCGCTCGCAGGCTCTTCCAGCTCTGGGCATCGGTCCCGACCCCGGCAAGGAAAGCAACGGAGCAGCCACAGGCAAGCACCTGGCAGAGTCGTCACCCAGCACCCACCCAGCAAGGTAGAGAAGCAGGGGGAGCCCCAAGATTAGAGCCTTAGCGCAGATTGGGGGACCCCTGCATTCCGTTCCCCGCCCTGCCATCAATGCCAAGGTCGACGTGGCTTAGCTAGAGCAGCAGTTGAATCAAATTCAGAGGCCGCACGCGTTACTGGTCTCACTGGGCTGGATGGCTTTGATGTTCTGTCTGGGTATGGCCACGCCACCGACGAAGCAGACTCGGGAGAAGAGAGAGCAGCGTCTTCCCAGGATCGTTTCCCTTCCCACACCATGGAATGTCACGGGCAGCCCGAGCCTCTCTGCCAGTCCCAACTCCCCCACATCCCCAGCCACAATGAAGATCTCTGGCCCCCAAGTTCTCTCATCCTTTGGATCAGCAGCAGACCTGGCTTTGCCAATGGGGTCCAGGTATGCCAGAAAGGCCACAGAAGATGCCCCCGTGGCCCTCCTCCCTGCTAGCAGGAGGGGGACAGCGGCCCCGCAGATGTGCCGGGAAAGGAAAACACCCTGCGGGAGCTGAAGCCCCGGGTCTGGCAGGACAGAGCTGAACTGGGGTTTGTATCAGGTATCTCCATTTCAGGACCTAGTCCTGCCCAGCAGAACACCTATTCTTTTTCGACTAGTCTAGGATTACAAGGCCAGTGCTGCTCACAGCCGTGCCAAAGGGCTGCCAGAACAGATGGATTTGAAGAAGTGAGATTTTTTTCATAAGGGCAGATCTTAATTTTCTTTTTTTTTTTTTTTTCCACAGTACTTACACAATACCAGTTTTGAGTTGCTTAAATGAACAGCATTGCTCAACCTGCTCCAAATCCCCCATGAGGCCAAACGTGCCGTTTGCCATCTCACAGCCTGCGCTTTTCCGAGCGGAGAGCAGGGCTTCGCTAGAGCACGCTCGCTGCCCTCCCGGACGGATGGCCAGCCTGCCAGCCTCCCCATACTTGTAAGCCAAATCCACAGGATGAAAGCAAGAAGAAACCTAGCACTGAGCTCCAGAGCCTGGGGATCACAGCTCAGGTCACTGAGGGTGCCTGGTTCAACGGGGGGATTGGAACAGAGGGGAGAGGTGAGGCTTGGGTAAAAGAACCACCACCAGGTAGTGCTGGCCCCTGGTTAAACTGCGGCAACACGGCGAGGTGACAGAAGGCAAGAGCCGCTGGAGATGGAGAGCTCTGTGCGTTGTCCCCGCCCGTCGCTCAGTGGAACCCACCGAGGGCAGCGGGCTGGGAACGCCGGTGCTCGCTGGTGCATCAGCCCAGGCTCTTGGCAAGGGGCACAGGACCCTGCCCCGACCTTTGGCAGCCACCGCCCCCCCGCCTGCTCGCCAAGCAAACCCAAAAGGGATTGCTGCACCCCAGGGGTGAGCTCCCGAGCGCAGAGGGACAACAGCCCAGCATCATCGCGGCCCTTGCTCTTTGCCCGTCCTCCCAGAGCTGCAAGCCAGCGACTGGGAGTCACTGGAGGCACATGACACCCACAGTGGTGTGGCAGAGAGCCCTGTCCCTGCTGGGACGCATTTCGTCCTAAGGAGAAGGTCCAGGGTGCAGCCCAGCTCAGGCACGAGACTTCACCTGGGCCAAGCAGGCTCCTGCCATACGAGGCGTGATCCGGGACAACAGACTGTCCGTTCGCAACGCACAGAAGCGGCTCTTTTCCAGCTCGTACCCAGGTTCGTCGTCGTCTTAAAACCCTCGTTGTTACAAAAGGCCTGATCTCAAGACGCCAGCTGAAGGCGACAGGCGCCAAGGACTGTCACCAGCTCACAGGATTTAGCTCAGGGAAGCCACTCTCCTGCCAAACCACCCCGCTCCTCGCTTCTCTCCTGCTAACCCTGGGGACTTCCCGCTCTCAGAGCAGCATGTCAGAATCTCTGAATCACTTTATCTGTGGAAGAAGCAGAACAAAAGGCTGAAAGAGATAGGCAAGGAGGTTTGCAACAGCAGCACCACTCGGTATAGCAAACATCCTTTTCCTGGCATTTTGTTTTGCACCTAATTGAATCAGTCTTTGCCTGGCTAATGAAAGAGAGGAAGAAAGTGGAAAATGTTCCTTTGTTTCTCCAGCCTGCGGAGCCCACCCTCCTCGTGGAAGGGCTGCAAGCTGCCAGCGCTGCCTGCTGAGCATCCCATCGCTGGGAACGCATCAGGTCCCCCTTCTGCAAGATCCCCCCAGAGCAGAGCTCCCCCACTCTTGGCCAGCGCGTCTCTAGGGGTGGAAACTGCAAAGCAGCTGAGCTTCCCCTCTGCAAGCTCGCTCCCTTGATCTCTCCTGGCTGCATCCTACAAGAAAGAAAGAAACGAAAGGAAAAGGAAGGCAAGCAGCGACCATTTCCCGTTGCCTCCCCTGCTCGCCCAAGGTGATCACAGTCCTGCGGCAGGGAAACAGCCCCAAAGCCCCCGGTTGCTGCCTCTGCGCCCACTCGCCAAGCGAGTCACAAGCAGAGGTGGTTTTACTCGATTTACAGCTCTGCAAACTCCGCCGGAGATGTGACGGTCACACCAGCTTCTCTCCTTTTCATGTAGCGACAGTCACCCCGTGCCTCCAGCTCTACCCTCAGCAACACCCACACACCTGCTGTGCCTACAAGGAGGCTGCGTAAACCTCTCTGGCGAGGCTGCACGGGGAGCAGAGCGCCCAGCTCCCCTCTGCAGCAGCCCCGTCTGCAGGAGAAAAGGAAGTTGCGCTCGATTCCGTCCCTCAGGTCGATAAGGCACCGTTTGACATGATCACAGGCTTGATGAGACACCAGCGCAACGGGAGCGGGCTGCGCCCCGCTGTGCTCGCGAGCTGACTCAAAAAGCGGGTGGA